GTGTACTGTATTGTAAAAACATTTATTTTAGCAGTAGCTGTCTAAAATATTAAGTGGAACAATGTCCACTTTTCACTGGAGGATGAACTTAATAATAGAGATTTTGGTCCTAAGTGATATAACTATCTTTCTAGCCGTTGACTATGATTTAACTTTCTTCAGCACAGCATGAGCTCAAACTAGGCAGAACCATAAGGGAACTACCTGAGGCCACACAGGAAGGGTAGCCACAGATAGCAGGAAGCAACAGTGTGGAGGGTATTTCATGGGATGGGTAACCTAGGTTACAGGCCATGGAAGATCAAGAAGAGGATGAGGAATAAAAACGTCCACATAAGGGGGAAGGATTAATGGCAGGGAGCAACTGAGACTGAGGACCTCTGATTGTAATGAGGGCCCTCCCTTCAGTCTGGTGCTGGGACTCAAACCCAGGGCCTCCATGTGTTTCAAATAAGCACTCTACATCTGGACTTCACACTTTAACTCTAAGTGAGCCTTTTCTTTTGCAAGTAAGATTTGATGGGGCCTTTTCTGTTTCCTGGCTTTGTACTTAACTAGTTTATTGTCTCTGCCATTGTAGGAACTTTGTGGGAATTTCAGTATATGGAAAACTGTGTTCCAGCTGGTGTGAATCCAAAGGTCTTAGTATAGTATTGGGACCAAAATATCGTGTCAGACAGCTGAGGACTCCCAGAACCCCATGGGTTTCTAAAGTAAGTTCTGCTTGCTTGCATTCAGTGACCAACACACTGTTTGCATGAGAGAACAGAGAACGGACAACAACTAAAGACACTAGCAGAAAACAACCAGGAACAAGAGGACTCACAACACTGCCACCAACAAAGCCAAAAAACCAAAGACAACCTAAACACTGCTGAACTGTAAGAAAACAACAAGAAAACCACCACAAGGAAAACTAAGGGACTGAGGCTTATCACAAACTAATAGAAACTAAATCCACCGAAGAAAACCTAAAACCTGCAAGCCCAAAGCAAACCTAAACGCCCAAAGCATACGCCGCCAATAATAGTTTTCATTGAATGAAAAACTACCAAAACTTTATTGTTGGCTTGAATATTCTCCTAACACTAAACTTATTATAGTCAACTCAAACAGCACTTTCTAAAATGCTTGGGAAAGACATGTTTTATTCTCAAAGCCATGAAAGAGAGAGCCAACCGAAATGGTAATACAGCATGAAAAATGTGGGTGTTTAGGCTAAGAAGTATTTTTTAAATGTCACAAGAAAGTAGTGTGGGAGGCAAAGGATAGGTGACCTGACTCTTAATCAGTGTTTTACCTGATCGTCTTTTGATTTTAAGACATCCTGACGGGGTGACGGCACATGCTTGTAACCCCAGTACAAGGCAGGAGGAGCCCAAGTTTGAGGCCAGGTTAGGGAACACAGTGAGTTCAAGGCCAGCCCGGCACTTAGTAAGCTTGTCTCCTAAAACCAAAAGGAAAACAAAAGTGAAGAGTTGAGAATCTTCCTGTTTTGTTTTGTTTTTATTGAAGGATAAGATACAGACAGGAAGTATCCAGCTACAAGGACAGCTTGCAGATTTTACGAAGTGGACCTACTGAGGCACTCAGCATCCACACAAAGAAACTGCATTGTTAACAGCTACTTTCCAAGACTGATTTCTAACATTATAGGGTTTTTGTCTATCTTGGCACATTGTATAGTCGATATCAAAGAATATGTGCTCTTTGGAGTCTGGCTGCTGTCATCCCGTTTAGTACCTGCAGCCTATAATTGAATATTACTGTGTGTAAGTGAAATGTATTCATTGCCATTGATGCTGTGTGTAGTGCATGAATGTATCACCCTTCATTTACTGCTGTTTGTGGTCTTTTGGATAGTTGCTAGTTTGGTCTGTTATAAATAGTATTATCTATTTATTTTAAATATTTGTGAACCTTAAGCTTTTATAAATACAGTGCTTAGAAGATTTACTTTTAGCCAGGCAGTGGTGGCGCATCCCTTTAATCCCAGCACTTGGGAGGCAGAAGCAGGAGGATCTCTAGGTTTGAGAACAGTTTGGTCTACAAAGCGAGTTCCAGGGCAGCCAGGGCTACGCAGAGAAACCCTGTCTTGAACCCCACCCCCCATCCTGCCTAGGGTCAGGATAGCAAGTTTAATAAGCACCAGAAGTTCCCAGTACATAGGAAACAGAATATGGCATCCATTGGGCTGCCACAGTCTAGAGCACAACCTGAATTCATGTGATCTATGAGGCCTCTGTTAGAGTTCTTTGCTTATGTCTCCAGGCCCTACCGCAAGCCAAATCCTTCATTTGACAAGCTGAAAATGAAGCATAAGCATGTCATGTCAGACCGGCAGAGCTTGGAGAATGAGAACAGTGAAGCCTCAGAGAAATTCAATTTTAGACGTGTGTAACAGGGGTTGGCGTTGAGGCTTCAAAAGAGTCATCCCATTCCCAGTTAACCCTCTCTGCCTCCTGCTTGTGTCTCAAGATGTGAGCCTGCAGCTACTGCTTCAGCACCATGCCTTCCTGCCTGTTGCCACGATGGCCATGGACTCCAACCCTCTGAAATCAGAACCCCCATGTTAAATGATTTCCTTTATAGGTTACCTTGGTCATAATGTTATATCATAGTAATAGAAAAATAACTAAGATGCCCACTAAGACTCATCCTGCCACTTAAATAGAAACATTTAACTCAGGCCTACTCAGAGAGCTCATGCAACACCATCTGTTCCATGGGCCACATGCAATGAGGCTCCTCCTGCAGCTTCTACAACCTGCTCAGCCCAGCCCAGGGCTCAGCTGCAAATCACTAACTAGAAAAAAAAGCTGGGTTGGCAGGTGGATTGAGATAATGGTCCACATGCTGGCTGGGCTTCGCCCTAG